GACAAAACTTTATACTACGTCAGCGCATTTGTTGTTTTTTCATCCGAATACGCTTTGTTTCCATTAGTAAAAGATTTCAATTTTTTAGACGCTCTAGCACAGTATTACATATATTGCGCGTTTACACTCGATTATACATAGTTTTAAAGTTCATAATACTTTATACGAGAAGAACTTTACACAGCGAAATTATAATATATTGATTTATCACAAAAGAGCATTTGTTTAACAACTCGTAGATGTTAGAATAAAATATGTATACCTACTGTAAGTCTAAACTCATAAATGTATAATATATAGGTACACGAGTAGTTTGTGTAGTAGTAGTTATAACATGCTGACCTGTGATCCGTCTCATGACGTTGATAATATTATAAAATATGTACAACGTATAAGTAAATTTACATTGATCAGTGGATATTATAATATATTATAGCAGGGGTGACCAACATGAATAGGTTCGAGGGCCACATAGATAAATACAATAATAATACCAAGAGCCAAAATGTTTATAAAATTTGATAATTTTTTTATAAGCTAATATCTAAAAATTAAAATGCATAATAATATTATGTAAATTTTGATTTTGTAAACAAGACGCGGGTCGCATTTGACAATAACGAGAGCCACATGTGGCTCGCGAGCCGCAAGTTGACCACCTATGTATTATAGTACTACACCTACAATTTATATTTTGTTCGATTGCGCGCTCGGTCTTAATTAGCTATAGGGCACGGATATCGTGAAAAACTTAACGCTGCAATAATCACTTGAAAACATAACTAATTGTATTTTTTGAACATAATGAACTACGTTTATGGTATCAAAAATAACAAGTTTTTGTACTGTAAATAGTATGATTTTATTTTATAATTATATCGTTGTTATAATAATAATAATTTATCGAAAAACTGTAATTGAAGTGTCTAAGTTAATTCTACATGAATTTACATATTTTATGTGAGGTATGATTTCCAGTACATAGGTAATGCGTGATGACGTGTCTAAATATAGCACAATAGCGTTGTGTTTGCGTGTTGTTTACATACTGTACTGCTTATATAAATTATACAACAGTAATTATTATTAAACTAATTATATAATTATCATGGATAACCATCATAATCGGAATTCGGGTTAGAGTTAAAACACATAAATAAATAGGTACAAATAACAGTGGAAAATCGTTAATGTGCGGTAACGGTCACTGAATCGAAAATAGTATTTATAAATATTGACATAATATCAAAAGGATTTTACCAAGCGATCGACCTCCCTGCATTGTACATGTATTATACTTTTGTTCTTTGTATGTTCCGCGGGTTATTATTTACTAAAAATATAGATATAGTGTTTCGGTATAGTGAATTTCTCTCATCGTATCATAAATAAATAATAATATCATCTCTAGTCAACTTGTTACATAGTTCATTTTTTTTCACTTCAGAAAAGCTGGTACACAATTGGGGTGACCTATCTATTATTATTTTGTACTTTTAATCTTTTAATTCAAGCCTTTAAAATTGATTCCGAATACTTTCATAGATAATATATTTATATTTCTAAAAACTTATTCGTACGTATTGTGTGTGTCCTATATCAACGAGGCAACGAAAGGGAGACAATATATACATTGCTCGAGGTGAAACATATTAATAACTTTATGTTTAGGTCTGAGATTAAAATTCGCTCACTGTATAGGAGTCTCACGCGATGTTACCTTTTGCCCGGGGCCTATATAGCTACGAAACATAACGCCAGTATTGCAGGGTCCAATATATTTTGAGCTCAATAAAAGATCTACAATATTTGAAATGCAGAGCACGTTGTTACGTGTTCGGCATGAGAATGTAAAAAAAAAAAAAAAATAATAAAATATATATAATAACAACAAATTTATTGCAATAGAAAAGTACCTTTAGGGATTAAAACTGCAGTTGGTGTGGGTATACTCGTATATTTGGGGTTGCGAGAAAATAAGAAAATATATGGCTCCTAATTACAAATTTAAGCTGAAATGAAAACTAATTTATTATTAAGATTTTAACTCTTTACGTAATGGACTAAGTAAATACACGCGGATGACTATAAGCGTGTGTTTCGTATATATAATGTGTGCAGTAGCCGCGGCAGAACGAATATAATATGTTAGGTATACATAGTGAAACTTAATTTTTAAAATTAGTCAATTAGGTAGGTATAGTAATATGTAGGTCAATTAAAATGATATTGTTTGTTCCGCCATTTTCAAATGACGATGACATTATTATTTGGCCGAAACCGTAGGGTACTCGCATTTAACACACACACACAGGGCAGGTACACGTTGGCTTAACCCCGGACACACATATACGAATTTGAAACACTTGCACTTCAGTCGTACGATATTGAACATGACGTATTAAAATAATAATAAACGGTATACCGCGCCAGTATTGCGGGGCGGGCGATTCGGTGAACTTCCGTTAGTGAAATTCGTTAGATTGAATACCGTTCCGGAATTATATATAGACAATGTATTGTTAAATTGTTTCGAGTGTATAATCGAAAAATAATATTGGTTTTAGTGCCGACGGGAGTTTCAAATAATAATAATTATATACATTCACTAACGCCGCCGCGCGTCGCGCATTACCGCTCGCGGGTCGGGCTTACACCGAACTGCAATGATTCTTGTGGCGGATCGGCGGATCTCAATTTTATTCATATTATATTCGAGAAAAGCCTCGCGTGTCGAACGTTTTCGCGTATTGCCGTTTTACGCACATTACACTATCTGAAAGTTATTAAAGTCATTTCGCAGTACAACTATATTTAATTCGACTGTTGCTGTCGACGGTACAGAGAAAAATTAAACGTTACTGCGGTACCTTTACGACATAATACACCTGCGCCCATCATCGCGATTCACACATAGTAGCAGTAGCAGCACTAGGATTGTTTCCTCGTAGGCGTGCGTACGGCGGGGGTAGCAGACGAGGCACCATTATATGCTGTTTTCGGGACTTCCTCGGCCGGCAAATATTGAAAAATAGGCTTCGATAAAATTATATTTCCACAAATGATGACCGTTGTATAGAGTTTCTTCAGTAAAGTATAGACAAATATTTAATGGTTATATAATTTATCATTATAAAACTAATAGACCTGTCTATACTCTAAGAAAAAAAATAGTCATAATTTTAAATTGTAAATATTATATTATTATAATTTATGGTCAACAAATCGAAAAATAAACCGAGTTTTATATTAAACCTAATCGTCTTGTGCATCGTATACGTCATATGAGGCTTTCGGAAAAGTAGATACATCTTTTGTGGCTATTATTATAGAGTATACTTTATTGTACCTACAACTTTTTATTAAAAAAACCGCAGATAACCAATACAGTTTTAATATTGATGCCCATTAATAAAAAAAATAAAACTACGGGCCGGTTTTAATGGCAAATTTGAAGAATACGGGCCGAATTATTCTCTCGCTGCCCCTAAAACCTGCAGAGGCATGCGCACGCCTATGAACTTTTGACTTTTCCTATGTATAAATATTCGTTATTTGTGTTATTACGAGATATATATATAAAATATTGTTATTAAAACGTGTTAATATTATTATCAAACGATTATTGAATTTAATTAATATTCGTAACGTCGTTAAAACGTTTGTTTTCAATTATTAGAATATTCACCGCTATAAACACTCAATCGGTACACGGTATTAGTATAGGGCGCGCGCGCTCACGCACGCATATCGCATATATTTATATACATTGATACCTTTAAATACCGCCATAATTTTGTACGTTTATTGAAAAAATCAATTAGGTACTTTAGCTTGGTTAAGACCTTGATGCATATAGTAACCTAACACGTTACGAATACGATGGAATCACAAACACAATTAAATACGAGTAGGATATAACTTCACAGAACATAATCTAGAAAAACGATTTCATCAACGCGATAATGGACGGATAAGCGATAAACTATAATTGCATAATAATAATTTATAATATAGGTACATAATATATAGTAGTAATAGATATTCCACGATTACTCTATAATAATTATTTTATTTTTAAAATTGTCAAAATCATAATTAAATCGCCATCATAAAAGTGTCCGGTATTAAGGGGTTTTACACTTTTCCAGTATGAAAGTAGTGAAAACGTCGCCGCAGACATTCGGAGGTGTCCGTTGAGGGAGGTTTCACTGTGTACATAGTCTTCCGTATCTATACGTACGTTGTACCTATTATTATTTTGCATAGGTATTATAAAGGTGCGGCGGCAAAGGCGGCATATTACACACTATTATTTATTTTATCAATATGACATAACGAATTACGTTGCGCAACAATATTATTATGTATTGTTACGTATAGGTATATTTATTGTGGGACGATAAAGAGTCGTTGCGAAAAGGCCGCGCGGAGCGTGTGACGATGAACCCCCCCGCCCCAAAAATAACACGCCTATATAATAATATAGTGTCACGATGAATATATATATGTATATACATTATACGTATATCAAACCGATACATCGGCCATCCGCGACATGACAATACATAAACACTGGTACATTTACCGTTACCGGGACGACGCGGGAACCCGGCCAACGGGAAGCAACCGGTTATCGTGCAACGACTATACGACGTTAATACAATACAATGTTATTATATTATTATATAGTAGGCACACCGTTGTCGCGTACCCGCCGCCGCCGCCGCCACCTCCCGGCAGGTAATTCGCGGAGGTGGTGCCTCTCGGCGGCGGCGGCCGAACAATGGTCCGGTTCTTGTAGCCATGTTGCGTTTTGCGGGGGGGGCTACTGGCTACTCGCTCGTTGGTTGGTCGTCTCTTTCATCGTATTGTAATATTTTTCTTTTCGTTCCCGCCGGCCCCGAACCGGGGAGGGGGCGTCCGCCCGTAACGGGACGCCCGATTAAAAAATCAGCTCCTCTCGGCTGCATGTCACCGGTTCAGTCTGCACAGTCGCCGGACCCGACGCATAGCTATATAACATAATATTATATCACATGCGAAGGCGATACGATAATAAATTATACGGTGCACACTATTGTGGTTCGCTTGCGACAACATACTCACTATTGCCTAACATATGACTTTGAATTTTTTTTCGTCGTCGTTGTTTTTCGTGTGTTGTTCGTTTTGGAGGCCGCTTGAAATTTTTTGGCACGGCCGCCGCCGACCGTTAATAGTCGCACATTTAACGCCGCGCGGCGACATCGCGGTTTTCGACACTTAATTTTTATTTTGTCGTTTAACGCGCCTTTTAAGACGTTTTTAATTTTTAATTTTTTTATTTTTTTTAAAATTTTTTTTTATTAATATTATTTATTAGTAGTGTCGATTACAGCAGTCCGTCATTGTATGATATAATATAATTATTTTTTTTGATTTTCAGCGGTTCAGAAGTCTTCAAAGCTGTACCTACTCCAATATTCATACTATTGATATTATATATGATATATTTATATTATAATATCATACAACAATAATAATTATCGTGTTTTAATTGATCCGTTGCATTTATACATCATTTCTGACCGATGTTTGTGTTTCAGGTGTATAGAACGGAAAACTGCACGACTTGTTTTTTCAAATAACCAAGCTGTATTGTGTAGCTGCCGTTGGCTTTTCGTCGTATAATAAATCACACACGTTTCTACCTTAACACATAACATAATATTATATTAAACATATAATATTATTTCATAGTGCACCAATTCTACACGCTGTCGTACTATTTGTGGAAATCACTCGCAGAGCAGATTTGATATAAAATTATTATTTTAAGCTATTTATCGTATTCGTAGTTGTTTTTAATATTACTTATTAATATTTATTGTATAGTTTCGTATTTATACTAGCGATTGACATTTATCTGCAACGCGGTTTACACGCCGTTATTCGTAGGTCTTATGTTTTTTCAACGAAAACGTTTTGTTTTTGATTCAGCTGCTGTGTAATCAGCGGTATCGGCGATGGCAGACCAACAACAGGAGCAGTACGAAGAGCAGCACAGACGATGGTACACCGAGTGGATCCGCAAGCAGTACGACGGGCCGGGCTGCCGTGCCAAGATAGTCGGTCGGGCCAAGTACGAGCAAATAGTGCGCGCTGTCAGGGGCGAGTTGCGGCGCGCGGCGGACAATTCCAAGTTCCGGTTCTGGGTGCGAGCCAAGGGGTTCCGGATGGGAAGACCGATGTCATCGGGTGCGGCGGTGCAACCAGACGATTCGGACGTTTTGTACGTGGTGGACACCAGGAACAGTGGTACAGCGGTCGCGGAAACGGTGCAGACGGGAAGCGGATCCAGGCAGCAGCAGCAGAAGCATTTTAGTTACAAGAAGGTGGCCGTGGTCGACGAGTTCTTCGACATAATATACAGGGTACATTGCAGCGGTGGAGGTGTTTCAGCGCGACACTCTGGACAAAAGCGTACGCACCGGATGGTGAGTACCTATACCTATATATAATTTATATTTACCTTGAATCTGAATATAACGTCACTATTAGTTTTTGGAACACTGTCGATCAGCGATGAGCTCAGACTTTTTGAAATAAGGGGAGGGAGTTGATATTAATTTTTGACTATTCTTAGAACAGATTACTACAAAAAAAAAAAAAATATATTTATATTTTAGCATTCACTTGTTATAGTTATAGTAACAACTTATAATGACATATCATTAATCACGTGTAATATACTCGTGGCGATGGCGGTAAATACATAAATATAATTTATTTTACCATTATATATATTTTATTATTACTAATTAACTTAATTTTTATAAAATATTAAAAATCACATAGAAAACATATATTTTTATTATAACAATAAATTATAAGAAATGAATGGACAAAAATAAGTCAAAGAGTAGATAATCATAATTATTGGGTGCATCATCATAGATACCCTCGCTCCCTCGTTAGCACGCTAATGCTGTCAATCAATATACGATGGCGTATGATAAAGTTAGGCTGTATATAACATAAATATAATGATATTCAATGTACCAAACAAGAAAATTAAAAAAGTAGGTCATTAAAGCTATAATATATAGTACAGGTATAAAATGAAATTTTAGGTAGACCTCAAAAGTCTTCCGAAATAAAAAGTCTATAGTTATTATGTTTATGAAGTTACGTATAATACTCGTTAGCAATATGATATATATATAACCTATGAATTTTAATAAGCCGTGCACTTATTTAAAAATTTTACATTAAGCGTATTAGTGTTTACGGTATGTAATCGGATTGACTTAAACACCTAATGTATAACTATTTTAATGAAATGTATTCTTTAATTTTCATTTAAAATATTTCAATGGGTATAAGTAATTAATATTATGTATGTACACATAAATGTTAGAAGAGCGGGTCAAACTCATAAATAATATGATCTTTAACTGAATATTTTAATCATTTGCCTAACTTCTCATTTTAATCGTATGTCGAACCGAACCAGATTTTTAGTTCTAAAATGAATTATACTTATGAGAAATATTGTATTAAATTTTCAAACTTGAGCTATACAAATTTAAAATTATATATATTTTTTTATTATAAAATATTTGTAGTCAATAAATTATCACAATTTTGTTGAGTTTTGTTAAACTTTGAGCATAAAATACATATAAAAAAATGATATGCACAAATATTTAAAATTTTTAAAATATTCAATTTTCAAGAATTTTTATCAAGCAAATATTTCTTTATCGAAATTATTAAAAAAGAAATGAAAAATGAATCAAACTATATAGTTCATAACTATTAATACCTTAAATAAAGTCAAAAAATTTAAAAAATGTCACCACACCAAAAAGGAAATAATATTATAAACATTTGATGAAAATTTTAAATATCTACAATTATTCGTTTTCAAATTAAAATAACAAAAATTATCTAAAGAGTGTAAGAGGTAGTTATTTTATCAATGAATATGCAATATCGTAAATATTTTAACTACAAACATTAACAAAAAAATAATTTGATTTACCTGTATACATTTTTTTTTTTAACTTGAAACATTTATAATTATTTTTGTGCTTTTACGCTCAGTTTTTTATTTTTTAGTTTTTATAAATTTCTGTTATTTAAAAAAATTCAAAGCATTTTAAAAACTATACAATGTGTAAGAAACGAAAATACAAACACTAGTTTTTATTTCATCTTTTATTTTAAATTTTTAATAAAATAAAGAAATCAATTTCGTCAAAAACTGATTTAGCGTGAAAATTACCTCTTGTCCTTAATTTTTTTTTATATTTCTCAATTATTAAGAAAAGTGTTGGAAATTTTTACTTTTGACTATTCAAAATTACCAACTATTACAAATTTTTATCAGAAACCACCCTCAAAATTAAAAACAAAACTTCGACCAGAATCTAAAATAATGCAACTAGAATTTGACTCAGCACTTTAAAAATAACAAAAAAGCATAAAATACGTATATATTATACGTCTAAAAAATAAACAACCAACAAAAAAAAATCTTAAAAATAAACATCCGAAACATTTCTTGTTAATAATAAACAACGTTTACATTTTTTTAGAATTTGAACTATTCTGAAGTTTGGTTTAGGTAACTGTAGAATTTCTAACTTTCTGTTTAATTCGGGTTGGTTAAGGTTTTTAAAACTATAAGTTCGACTTTCAAACTCTTATCTTCAGTTCAGTTTTTTGAACTTCAAACAATTCCATCTCTAATAAATGTATTTATATATAAATATGTATTTTAAGTATTATATTTGTTGATGAATTTTTATGTTTGTATATGTACAACATTTTTATAAATATGAACAACAATATTATATTTTTAAACTTTTTATAAAATACATTATACAAAATAATTTATTTAAAAAAATAGTATAACATACACGCTATTATCAGTAGATTACGCGTTGCTGCAGATTATTATTGGTTTTGTGTTTACTCAAATTATCGTGATTACGCAGATCATGGAGACGTACGCTTTTCTACCAAGGGAGGCAGTAACTGCCTTTTTGATGGGATGTCCTCAGTGCAGCACTAGTAATCCTACACCGGCATCTACAGTTGACGCATCCGTTGACAATTTACAACAGACTCCACTTGCCGTTACTAACGTTGAACTTTTTCACTGCACTAACATAGAGCAATGGTCGTCATCAAAGTTCGCGTGTTCCACTCCGGTGAAACAGAACGAAGAGAGCAGCAGTGCCGTAAAACCGGAATCTGCGGGTGGTACGCATCCGATTGTCGCCACTGAAATAGCCATGGGGGCCGACAAAGAGAACGTTACGGATAATGAATGCCAAATCGCCGTGGCCGCAACAACGAAGGGCGGTAATAAACGTAAACGTACAGTCCCGTTAAAACGTAACATTCGACAGCCGTGCCAAGTCATAGAAGTCGTCGACGCCGCTACCACAACAGTCGGCAACTCAAGCTCGGGTAGTAGCACTTTGAAAAATAGTAGCAACAGCAGTTGCACGCTAATATTGTCGTCATCGTCATCGTCGTTGTCGTCCCGTACGGAATCGGGTAGTGGTGTCAGTAGGACGAGTGGTGGCTGGTGGTCAAAATGGGGAGTGTGCAGTAACGGTAGCAGATTAAGCGTGAGTGTTGGTGGTAGCGATTTTAGTGGTGTCAACAGTAACATGCAACCGTTAGACTTATCTTCGTCGCCACTATTAACGGTTTCACCCACGCAAACGATTATCCGGTCGTCGTCGTCTCCGTCCGTTATCGCAGATGATTTTTTTTACAAGCGTAAACGCGTACGACGTCGACGTGTTCGGCCAAAACGTTTGAACCGATCATCGTTGGGTCGTCGTGGAGGTAATTACGAAGAGGATGACACGTCGGTGAGTGATGGTGATGGTGATTATGATGTGGTAAAAAATAGTTATAGAGACAATGGTAATGATGATGTTGGTAGTTGTGTTAACGAAGAGGCTGATGGAAGTATTACAGATGAACAAAATAACTCGATGATGGGAGAAAAAGTTGGAGGTGGAGGGATGGATGAAGAATATGAAGGTCCTAAACCGGCCAAAATACAAAAAAGACTAGGTGAAGGGATAGGTAATCGTAAAAATAACAACAACGATGACGATTTCTATGATAAAGCGGCATCTGTGGTGACCTCGGCCGTAAAAACAACGGTAGCGGCCATAAACTGTTGTGATGGTGACAATGGTCAAAATATTGTCAATGACGCTTTATCAAGGAACATAGCGATGAAAGGACCACTGGAAGTAAAAAAAGAATTCACTGAAATCGACAGAACCGAAGCGGACGAATTAGACGAAAACCAGGTAAGGCTATACTACAGCATAAATATTATTATGACCATATTAGTCGTACCATATACAGTAAACACGCGAGTAACATATTTCATTGGGTGAATATTATAAATGCGTTGCGATTTTGTGGCACGCTTAGTTTGACACTAACACCGAATTTGGCCTGGGCAAAATCAGTACTATATTCGTGGTAGACAGAGTGGTGCACGCTTGTATGTAATAGGACGAGCCGCAAATGGGAAGAAGAAGAGAAAGGCCAAGAAAAGGAAAGGAAAAGACTGAGGAAGATGGATGACGGACGATAGGTCGACCGAGTAAGGTTAAAGGAAATGCGACTACTACTACTACGCTATTATTACGATGGGCGATCGTAGTAGCAGCAGAGCCGGTTGCAATCGTGTGTGTGCGTGTCGCCTACACTGCCGAGAGCCGATAGAGCTTTGAGGATATTACGACTGATGATGATCGGGGGAGAGGGTGAGAACGGCAGCAGCAGCACCAGAGCACATTAGTGTGTCGGCGGTAGTGATGGCGGAAGGGTGTGTATAGTGACGGCGGTAGCGTTAGAGGGTAGTAGGGATTTGGGGATTTGGGCCGGAAGGAAGAAGAAAAAAAGGAAAAAAGCACCAGACGTAGGGATGGTGGCGAGTATGAGACGACAAGGGTGGTGGCAAGCACCGACAAGGAAGGCGGGTAGTAGTGTGCGTAGTAGTATAGTAAGAGGGTACGGAGGTGAGTGGTGGTGGGACTTTGACGGCGGCGTGACGTGGTGCACAGGCCGAGTGCTACGGGGTATACCACCCTCGGCTAACAAGCGGGTGGTGGGTATTCGGTACTACTACCGCCACCACTACTACCCTCTGCCACACGCACCACAGTCGTTTCACCAAAAACCTCCCCTCGTCAACCCACGTATTATATATATACACGCGCGAGAGCGTTTCTCTTCACCGCCTTATCCGCAGTCGGTCACGATCAGGATACTCTACCCTCACCGCTCATCACCACCCACACCACTATCACGCTATCCCTCTCCGCTTTTCCCATTCACTACATATACGAAATCGGCAGCGGACCCGACAAAGTCCTCCTCGCGTCGCTTTGGGGTTTTAGTCTCCTCACTTCACCACCGTCCCACAGTCCTTTCCATCGACGCCACCGTGTTCCTCTTATTTCGTTTGTGCCCTTCCTCTCCGCTAGCCACCGACAAAAGCCCTGTCGACTGTAACACCGCCCGGCCTGGTTTTGTGTGTGCTCCTCTTTTGCAAGCTACCATCCACCCACCCACCTTACTGCCTGCCAGCCACACAGGCCTTATCCACCGACCTATATATACACACACACACATATATATATATATACACGCACAATATATATATATATATATATATATATATATATATATTGTGCGTGTGTAGTCTCTTCGCGTAGCCATCACACCTCTACCACCACTACCACTACCTCTCTACGGACCGCATACCCATCACTGTTCGGTGGCAGCCATCTACACAAACCCCTGAGGCAAAACCTCTCTACCTCGTTCACTCAAGGCTTACACTCTACCACTTTCCTCTCATCATCACATATACAACTACACTCACGCATCCTGGGGAAAGTATGGATGTGTGTGTGTGTATGTCTTTCTACTATCTACCCCGACCCCCGAATACTATGTGTAGTAATAGTCAGAGGCACACACGTTTGGTCCCATCAATCCTCTTTCTCTTCCTTCAACTACTCTTCCACCACTCATAGGCCACCACTACCTCCTCCGCTGTTTACTTTGACATGGGCACAAACCTTCCTTGCCTACACAACACCACCATCACTGCAACGTGGCCTTTTCACCTCCCCGTTCTGCCAGCCAAGTCCTAACCTTGGTCGACGAGCTTCGAAAACTAATCCGGCTCCACCACTACTACCGAATACCGCCTCCGTAAACAATTTTCCCCTAACGCAACGGTCACTCGGTTACTACCAAAGTGCGTATTTCTTATTTCGACCGTCTTTTCCGGATGTGTACACCTAACTCACGATCACCGCCGCTAAAGCATCAATATGCTTTGTGTGTACTGACAGCAGCTGTAGCTGACCGGCTTATTTCGGTGTGTTTACTCGTATTGTCCAAATTGTAGCAACTGTTTTTAAGTTTAAATGACATCTAAACAAACAAAAATCCAATATCTCATTCCAAAATCGTTAAAGCGCCAGATTAAATTGCGATTTCGCTAAGAAAATAATTATGGTTTTCGTTTTTACTGAAAATTATTAAATAATCGTATATTATAAACATAAATAATGATAATAATACAACAACGAATAATAAATTGTAGTAATATGTAAATAATTTTTTTAATTCATTGAATAAACTACACATAGGACTAATACGATTTTATGGTACACCGTACACGTTGTCGAATACGAAGTAATGCTTAATAGTGTTATTATAATATAGACGTATAATTAACTAGGTATGTAGGGATACCATGTAATAAACCGAGATCAAAATATTTGTCTGCATATTACACTTTTTCTACATACCTAGTACTATTTATAAACACTGAAATAAAATCAAATTAATGAAAAATGTTCCACTTGAAATTTCGAATAGTACAATTCCATTCTGAATTCTATAAATGTGCATTAACATAGGTATTAATTATGCGTCTATTTAGTAATATATATATATCACGACCTCGTGTACTATTTTAATCACGTTTAAACAAACGCTTTGAGTGTATTTGCATGAATTTGAATTTTTATTGAAGTTTATTTTAGATGTTTAAAAATATATTTAACGAAATAATTGCCGAAACCTTTATAAGACCCTCTATTTTTCACACTCACTTACCACCGGCGCCCTCATTGACATAAACTGGAATACTAACGACCATGTGTATACGTAGTCCCCTCGCTCGCTCGCACGCGTTATCGTTGTATTTTGTAGGTATAGTGTTCACGAGTATGGTCGTGGCTCGTGCCCCCCCGTCCCTTTGGAAAATGTCCGTGTTTATTTATTATTGGTTTTTTTCACCCACTGTTACCAAGGTGTAGTGTGATGTTCACACTTCCATACACATATACTTCTCTAAATTGCACCTGTCATCCTCACCCACCTCATCTATACCTGAGTGTCGTTCGCTTGAGTAACAAAAGGTATATATGTCGTAGCCACTTCACGAAATCGATCTTTTCATGAAAAGCTATCTAGTTCATGAAGTAGAAATGGCTTTTTCACATTTTGTGAAAAACAAAAATATTTCACGAAACGATCGCTAAAAATTTAACATTTCAATTTGACATCACATAAATTTTTCATAAAATGATCATTCAATCTATAAAATAAAATATTTACTGCACTCAATTATTATTTTTATTTAGTTATAAGTAGTATTCGACCTCTTGAATTTGCATATTGAACACAATTAAATAAAAATGTTGACTTTGAATATTTTTGTATATCTACCCGCATTTCATCATATTTTGGGAAAACTTTTTATTATTTTTTATAATATATCATATAAGCATCCAAACTATTTTTAAAATGTCATTACTTTTATACATTTAATATTATCGGTCAATATCGTGTTTGGGTAAGGTTTTAAGAAAAATATTTTCCAAAATAAATTATCTTCACTTAATAAGTTTGTTTATCGATTAGTATTGTATTTTTAAAAACTTAATGATAAACCATATTCTATATTGTACGAAGAAATAAAAATCTGTACGTATTGTGTATAGCGACGAGTGTTAAATTGCATCTTAGTTCAATACACGGCGTCGCGTAATTTATTACCCATAGTCCATAACTATTAATTATAGTAAAGTTATAATCCACGTAATTTACTATATTTATTTTAACTACGTCTACGTAATTCTTTTTAATTTTTTTCAAATAAGCATTTATATATATATATTTATATGTATATATTTATTATGTTTTAAATATTTATAAATATTACTTTCTATAACTTAACATAACTTTATACAAAAACAACTTAAATGTATAGGATATTGTGTAAAACTTCTTATACTATGGAATTAAATAATACAAGATAGATAAATAATAGAATTAATTTTAAGTGATGAACTTTTTATTTTACAAAGTGAATGATCACTTGTGAAAAACTTATACTATATCAAAAATTGGAGTGTCCATTTCATGAAAAAATGACCGTTTCGTGAAATATTTTCTTATTTTACGAAGTGTGAAAAAAATACGTCTCCATTTCATTAAATCGACAAATTAACATGATGAGATAAATTTTACGAAGTGGCTACGATATAATGTTCACCTATGATAAGTGAACGCATTGTCTGACGAGAAATATACTACCATATTTGCAAGAGCAACGATAATTTCAAATTCACACATTTTTGGTACTGCATTCACTTAACAATAGTAGATGATGTTACCACCGAGTCGGCGGAGGGGTAAACGATTAGAGGGATGATGGCGAACACGTGCGCTTCGCAATATACCCATATACCTATGCACGTATCGGAAGAGGCATTTTTCACTATTGTACACGATCACACTGCTGTGCAGTCCTATACACACTATAACCCACTGCTACCACAAACCAATACTTACGTTACACTCATTCAAAACTGGCCCATTTTTATCATAAATGTATGAGCGCCAAGTTTAAAGTGCATTTTTCTCTCTCATCTATCTTTCGCTATACGTTTCTCATTCTCGACTCGTATATGCGCACGTTTTTTTTTTTTATTTTATATACGTTTCTGGACACGTATTTTTTTCGTTTGTTTCGACCTTACAGTACAACGGGTCCGATATAGTGCCCCGGAGCAGTGGTGTCGGTGACGGGGGGGTTTAGTAGACGGAGGGTTTATAGAGGATATAGCAAAGCTACAGTGGCGGTGGTCGGGGTCGTTTACGCGCGCGGGGTACTGCTGCTATACTCTACAACAGATATATATATATATACACACATATATATAAAGGTGCACATATATGGGACCCACCGTACACACACACACACACTCGT